ACTCATATTCATGTAATTTAAGTGTTTTAATGATTTGGCCAATTAATTGATTATTTGAAAAAATAATAGAGAGATTAATCAATTATTAAAATAATCATTAGTTGCAGCCCTAATATAAAGTACAAACTAGTGAGGAGCAAACAATATCTCCTAAACCACAAGAACTCCTTATGAATATATCCACTGGATGCAACACTAATGGTGTGCGGTTTAAATACTAGATGCGTTTCCATTGACCATGAACATTTGCAAATTAGAATTTTGAAAACAAATTTGCTCAATGGAAACACGTCAATTTCGAGAAAAATTACGTTTTTCGACAAAATATTTTTGCGCTAGGATGAGGTGGTTTTTCGGCCGTATTAAAATTGGTGTWTTTCGCAAAACTGCAATGGAAACACTTTTTTTGCATCACGGGAGTCACGTGATCAACAACCGGCTGTTTCTACTGGTGAAAAAGATGACAACAGGAAATAGAAGTAGTAGTAAAATCACAGAAGTTGTAAAAGAAAGTAGTGAACTCACCCACTACAATTTCCCAAAAACACCACATATGTAGCCGCCCCCAAGTATAAGTAGCTTGTCGCTGGAAAGCCTCGATWAGACGGCGACATCTCGCTAATGATGAGCGCTAGTGTCATGGTAGTAATATGCTGTGTTTACATCCATTGCTGCCATGTTTGTAATGGCTTATCGCGAGAACAAAAGTATTCATGTGTGACTTTAATAGCATTTCTTACTTAATGGAAACACCGCAATTGTGAAACTGTGTTTTTTTATTATCGATATTAACAGGATATCGACAAAGTTTTGCGTATATTTGCAATGGAAACACAGCTACTGGTTAATTCTTAAAATATTCTCCAACTCCTTTTTTTCCAGGCAAAAACAAAGAGGATGCCATGAACGAGTACATCCAGTTGGTGGAGGAATTGAAYCAGAAATATGGGATTTAACAAATGTCAATTGGGACACTTGCTGGATGGATTAAGACCAGTCATCCTTCATGCCAACTATGTGAAATGCCTTAAAACCTGAGCACAACTTTACGAGTTACATTCAGGGACCACTAGTCCACTGACCTGAAACAGACAGAAACTGTTTTTCACCACCATTGTCTTCTTGCCTTCAAATCGTCCTGTCATTTCAAAATAAAGTGTTTTCTCAATARACAATGTTTCTCTGTGTGTTGTACTGATTATTTGAACAGCAGGACTGTGTTCGTACAACACAGGAAGTGCTCAGTGTTCGTCTTGTACATACTAAAATGGATCAGCTACAACTTCATCTCTATCYTTACCAAAACCAGACTTCAACTCCACGGAGTTCAGTGACTGTAAAGGTCAGATACTTCAGTGGTTTCCTTCAGATGTATAGTAAGGTGACATTTGGTAAAAAAAAAAAAAAAATACTGTTTTATTGAATCCAACAGTTAGTTGTGTGTTTCTGAACCATTTGCCATTAAGTGATCCATTAGATATTTTTCAAACAAATAGGACTGATTCCAAATCATAACTCCAACATTATAAGAAAAGATGTATGTTCTGTAGGTGGGACAAAATTGTGGAATAAATCTTGTACTGGGTTTTGTTAATGTGCTAACATGGTGCTGGTGGCAAACCAACTTCAGTTGATTTAGGTTCAGGGTGGTGTTAAGTATCTAGGAATGTATAGTTCCCATCTTCAGTATGTCAAATATAGATCTTGTGGAAAAATAACAAATGTTACACATGTAAACAATACACGTTTGTGAAAACCTTTAATACATACTAGTGAGAACCTAAATCCTTACATACACACATAAAAACTGCATAAACACATGTAAAAATAAACTTGCAGACACATGAAAACCTCTCTCACAGACTGGGAGAAATTCATAGTATTTGATCCCTTGCTGATTTTGCAAGTTTGCCCACTTACAAACACATGAACAGTCTATAATTTTAAGGGTAGGTTAATTTTAACAGTGAGAGATATAATATTTAAAAAATCCAGAAAAAGAAATTGTATAAATCATATAAATTTATTTGCATTTGGCAGAGAGAAATAAGTATTTGACCCGTCTGGCAAACAAGACTTAAAACTTGGTGGCAAAACCCTTGTTGGCAAGCAGAGCAGTCAGATTTATTTTGTAGTTGATAAGGTTTGCACACATTAGGAGGAATTTTGGTCCACTCCTCTTTGCTGATCATCTCTCAATCATTGAGATTTTGAGGCTCGGAGTTTCACCTCCCTCTGTAGGTTTTCGATGGGATTAAGGTCTGGAGACTGGCTGGACCACTCCATGACCTGAATGTGCTACTTTTTGAGCCACTCCTTTGTTGCCTTGGCTGTATYTTTTGGGTCATTGTCGTGCTGGAAGACCCAGCCACGACCCATTGTGGCAGAGGGAAGGAGGTTGTCACAGGATTTTACGGTACATAGTAACTCCATCCATTCTCCCATTTACGCGGTGAAGTAGTCCTGTCCACCTAGACAGGTGTTGGACAGCTCGGTGGTAAGTTTGCGTATTGTAGGGGAGTTTCACTTGTTCCTGCATCCAGTTGGCTACATCCTGCACTACAAACTGACTGTACATTACTCCTTTATAGACCTGTGTCAGATTTAACAGTTGAATGTCAGTACACAACTTCTTGATCAGATGTTATGTCTAGAGCAGGGCTATTCAACTGGTGGCGCGAGTGATCAAAATTCGGCCCGCCAATTGGTTCATTCATCTCTTAAACCCAAACCCCGGTTTTCTACTTTAATTACTCCAAGTTATTTTAAACATAGACGTGTTAGGTATCTACAGAAACATCAGAATCTTGGCTACAAGCTGGTAAAAACCATTTCTATGAACATCCAAGAGAGTTAAAACTACAAGCAGTTAAATGTAAAACTATGGAAGTGAAAATAAATTGGTTTAAAAATGTGTCAAGATAGAGATGTCAAAATAATATTTGTGGGGAGTGGTGGCGCAGAGGTTAGAAAAGATGAGTCTGTGATTGGAAGGTTGCCGGTTCAACTCCCCAAACCAACCTGCCCATGAGCTTGGAAGTGGGGGGAAATGTGGACCTGACTACCCAGGGCCCAAGAAGGGAGAGGGGCCCATGGAAGTCCTGCTTTAGTTTTTTATTTATTTTTCCCAAATGAAGTGGGCCCTTCAATTAATTGGTGTAGTAATTTATTTCAAACATATTGATAACATAAACTGAGAGAATGAACCTTATTTTACTGTCCACACCATGTTGGATATTCTGGTGGGCCCCCTCTTGGAGACTGCGGTCAAGTGAGCCGCCTGACAGCAATCAGGAAGTATGTAACCCAGACACAGCTGAAGGAGCTGCGGTGAGACCCGGACAGACAGAACTGGGAGGTTTCCCATGGTCTGCCTGCTGA